TGCTCAAGAAGGGGGGAAGACAGAGAGAGAGAGCAAGGAAAAGATATCTTGCTTGAGGGAGCCTTCAAAGGGATAGTGGGAAACATGGCACTAGGGAAATTCTCAGCAATCCACAAGGATGATGCCACAAAAGACTCTAAGAAACCCTGGAAAGGATTCCTAAACTGGCCTTCCTCTGTAATCAGATTTATGACAACTTAACTGTCATAATAGAACCTTCATCCAGAAACTGATGGAAACAGCCACAGAGATCTACAGAAAATTACTGGGCTGAGCTACCAGAGACCAGCTCAAGAGAGGGAGGAGAGATAATAAGAGCAAAGGGGGTCAAGACTGTGATGGTGATATCCATGGAAACAGCTGACCTGAGCTAGTGAGAGCTCACTGATTCTGGACTGATAGCAAGGGAACCTGCATATGACCAAACTGCCCACTAAATGTGGAGGACAATTGTGAGTCTTGAGCAATATGTATGGGACCACTAGCAATGATTTATCCCTAGTGCTAGAATTAGCATCTTGGAGAACACTCTCTTTGGAGGGATACCTTGCTCAGCCTAGATACAGGGGTGGAGGCTGGGGCTTGGTTTTGCCTCAAAATGAAGTGTTAAGCTTTGTTGACAACCTATGGAAAGCTTTAGCCTTTCTGGGGAGTGGAGGGTGAGTAGGGGGAGAAGGGTTGGGTGAACAAGGGAGGAAGTGGGAATGGAGATAGCTATGTAAAATGAGAAAATATTATTTTTAAAAAGTTCCCAATAAAAAATGCCAAAAAAAAAAAACAACCTCAGTGAAAAGCCTCACCGACAGATTGGGCCACAAGGAAGACAGAGTATCAACACTTGAAGACAAAATAGAGGAACTGGATCCCTCACACCCACAAGGAAAATAAAGAAATTAACATATGAACAGACCATGCAGCATCTTTAAAGCTTCAAATCTATAAATGATGGGAATAGGAAGAAGAAGAATTTCATATCAAAGTCTGGGAAAATATTTCCCTTTTTAATTAAAATATATTTATATCACTTTCCCCTTTTCATTTTCTATTTCTACCTTTCCCATGCCCTTTTTTCACAACCCTTCCCATGCTCTCAGATAGCCTCTTTTGTCTTTGATTTCTGTGTGTGTGTGTGTGTGTGTGTGTGTGTGTGTGTGTGTGGCCTTCACTCTCTCTCACATACACATAAGCATCTAGACTTGTCCTCTTGCATTCATGTCCAAAATCCCAGGGTTACAGTGTTGTGTCACTATGGCAACTTTGTAATGAGAATTTACATTGCCAAGTCTATGCCAAGGGACTATAATTTTGATCCTTACAACCACCTCATGAAGTATGGCCTTCACCCCCTGTCTTATAGGTGAGGAATAGTGTCTCAGAAAGGGAAGACACTTGAGAAGGATCACACTGCTGGTAAGTAATAAAAATGGAATTAAGATAAAAACAATTTATTTTAGTTTTGAGGCAGTGTCTTAGTCTGTGGACCTGAATGCCCTTGAAATTGTGACTGTCCTGCTTCAGCCATAAAAATGTGGAAATCACAGGTATGAGCCACGATGATTGATTCAATATAAATAACTTGCTAGTATCCCATTTATAGTTGAGGATCCTAATGTTCTGTGATACATGGACTCCCTGTGTGTTATCCCTCTCACAAAGTAGTTACACGACCTGCAACCTTACATCCAACCTCATGTCAATCTCCAGTCACTTCATGATGACAGATGTTAACTGCCAAGCTTAACATGTCACTCTGTCCTATCAAGGTAGAAGTGGGAGGAGCACAGCACTAATGTCACAGGTTGCCTCCCTCTCTCTCAGCTCTTGTGTGCAGACCTAGCCTAAGGAGAAATGGTGAAGCCAAATTCTTTTTTGAGTCCCAGATGAGCTGATTCTGTGAAACCAAGCAGCTACTAAAATTCCAGGGCTGGAGGAAGCAGAAGTTACACGCATTTTTCCATGAAGCTGGCCTGCACTCAACAGGAGAGGCAGGGAAGCCTGGGGGAACAAAGTGAGCACTGGGGCCAGGAGCACCTCTAGGCAAAAGTCCAGATGGCAATCTGCCTGACCTTTAATCCATGCTTCCTGATCTAGGCTTTATATATCTGTTTTCCTGTCTGTAGACTATACCAGCTCTTTTCTGTAACTACTGCTTGTTCTCTGAATGGTATAAATCCATCCATTTCTACTACAACAGTAGTCTGTCTCCACATGTTTACCCATCCTTGGAGTGTCAGAATCAACCTGTAGAGTGTGAACCTTGACATATCTCTGCAGACACTAACAAACCCATGCCTGATTGCTCCATTCCACAGTTTCTCTGTTTAAACCATATGTTCCCATAGAGTTGGTATTGAGACTTAGAGTTCATATTTAGCCTCTGGGTACCTACCCAGCTCATCTGATTGGAAGCAGGATAATGCAGTCACGGAGACACGATTTAAAATCTATCTCCTCGGTAAGCCAGACCCAAAAAGAGGAGCATGGGATGTACTCACTCATATTTGGTTTCTAGCCATAAACAAAGAACATTGAGCCTATAATTAGTGATCCTAGAGAAGCTAAATAAGGAGAACCCAAAGAAAAACATATAGGCATCCTCCTGAATATTAACCTTCATCAGGCGATGAAAGGAGACTGAGACAGAGACCCACATTGGAGCACTGGACAGAAATCCCAAGGTCCAAATCAGGAGCAGAAGGAGAGAGAGCACGAGCAAGGAACTCAGGACCGCAAGGGGTGCACCCACACACTGAGACAATGGGGATGTTCTATTGGGAACTCACCAAGGCCAGCTGGCCTGGGTCTGAAAAAGCCTGGGATAAAATCGGACTCGCTGAACATAGAGGACAATGAGGACTACTGAGAACTCAAGAACAATGGCAATGGGTTTTTGATCCTACTGCACGTACTGGCTTTGTAGGAGCCTAGGCAGTTTGGATGCTCACCTTACTAGACCTGGATGGAGGTGGGGCTTCCTTGGACTTCCCACAGGGCAGGGAACCCTGATTGCTCTTCGGGCTGAGGAGGGAGGGGGACTTGATTGGGGAAGGGGGAAGGAAATGGGAGGCGGTGACGGGGAAGAGACAGAAATCTTTAATAAATAAATAAATTTTAAAAAAAAGAAAATCTATCTCCTCCAATTGACAAAAGATTCCTGCCACCAATTATGATGACCTAATTTTGCTTCCCTTTCTCTACTCACATGCTCGAAGCAGAGAACTGACCTCTCCAGTTGATCTCTGACCTCCATATGAGGACATGGGTCCCTAAACCACTATTAATATTTTAAAAGAAAAATCATGCCCTGTGCAGACCAAGGCTACATGATCTAAAGGAGAGAAGTCTGGGAGACTGATACTTCTCCTGCTTATTGGGAATAATCCTCTTGCTATTCCATCTCCTGGGCTCTCCAAGAGACCCTAAGGGATATTGCTCTGTGTGCAACAAAATTGTTTCCTGAAGAGGCTGGGCCCAGGTGATTTGGATAAAAGTCAGGAGAATCTCCATTGTTTCTTCTCCACCAAGTTTCTGCCCTCAAGATTATTTATCTTCTAACAAATACTAGAGCCAATTAAAGTTTTTTCTCCAAACTAAGCCTTATTGAAATTTCAAATGTTGCTAATGAACAACTTGCTGTATCTAGAAGATTGTCACTTTGCTTTAAATAGGAGAGGACTGCTTTCCTCTGAATGTATAACCATAACACTCCCATCCATGGTCTCGTGTGATTTTTCATATTTGGCATCGCATTCTATCTTGTTATTTTGCAAAAATTGCAGCTGAACATATAGGAATGAGAAATGACAAAAGAAATTATTTATTCTGTTCCTTCAATGGTAACATTATGAAAAATTATGGTACAAATTCATATCTATAATACTAAATTTGGGAAGAAGGAAATGAAATCAGCAAAAAAAATTATTTGTACATGCTTATTGTGGCAATATTCACAGTAACTAAGGTAAGGGGTCCACATAAGTGGTTATTTATTGGGTGAATGCATAAAAAATCCAAATATAATACTAATATGTTTACCATTTAAATATCAATATTATTACTTTAAGTTATATCTATATTGCAAGCATGTGTGTGTACGGATGCAAACCCCCCCACACACACACAAACACATCTGCCTCTGAAAGGACATGGATTAGAAACCCCTTAGGTCATTTACTAGACATTATGTTAAGGCCATCGACCATACATACAGGATCCTAGATATATGAACAAAATCAAATTACAAACAATTACATATACCAATATATTATTGTTTGCACTATTAGGAAAGATGAGGCACCATGGAATGATAAACAGACCACTGAAACACACTAGTCTCTGACTTCTCTACACTATAAAGTTATATATAGGATCACAAATGTAAAATAAAGTATCTCATCATGGCAGTAAAATTGATGACGACTTTGCTACACCTTAAAATTACTGAGTCTAGGTAGCAAAATAGGTAAATGCAGTTGCTGATAAAGTCAGATGACTTGAATCCAATCCTAGGAACCCATATAAAAGTGAGAGATGACAACTGACTCCACAAAAAAAATGTTCTCTGACTTCCACATATTAGTCACAGCATGTGGGTCAGCATGTATGTATTATACAGTCACATAACCATGAATAATAAATAAAAATTTAAAAATTCTGAGTCTGACACATGTCTCTTGCAAAGAAATTATTTCTAATCACATTGTTCTCTGTGATCAAAGGGGATTTCTCAGTATTTCTTGATCCCAAAATTGAAAAAAAAATGTTGAGAAATTTGGAAAAGGACAAAAGGAAGAGAAATTAATATTATAGTGAGTGGAGATAGTGATAGTGTGAATTATGCGATTGATTTGTATAATAGAGAAGCTGAAATCAGAGAATGAGAACCTCCAGGGATGAAATAGAGGGAGCACATTCTACTTTGAAGATCCCACCAGAGATCTCTGAGCTGTGTGATCATGGACACATAACCATGCTGAGCACCTCAGCAAAGGATTTTTCTATTACTTCCATCCCAACATGTTTCTCAGTGCTCTCTTTATATCTTTATTCCTAAGGCTGTAGATGAAGGGGTTCAGCATAGGGGTGACCACACTGTACATCACTGAGGCTCTTGCAGTTGACTGTGAGTTTTCCATTGAAGCAGAACTGAGGTAAACACCCAGGCCTGTGCAATAGAATAAAGAGACAACTGATAGGTGAGATGCACAGGTGGAAAATGCTTTGTACTTCCCTTGCAGTGATGTGATTGCACGTATGGTTGAAACTATCTTAGAATAAGAGTAAAGGATGCCCATCAGGGGACAGCAAGCCCACAGCACAGCTGCAAAATAGATAACCACATCATTTGGAAGGGTGTCAGAGCAAGCGTGGTGTACTACTTGATTAAGTTCACAGAAAAAGTGTGGGATTTCCAGGTCTGCACAGAAGGACAATCGCAATGTCATTAAGCTTTGTGTTGTGGAATGAAGGATATTCATGATCCAGGATGCTAGGACCATCAGCACACAGAGTCGAGGGTTCATGATGACAGTATAATGCAGAGGGTGACAGATGGCCACATACCTGTCATAGGCCATCAAAGCCAGCAGAAAGATTTCCAACCCTGAAAAGAGTATAAAGAAATGCATTTGGGCAATGCAGTTCCTATACATGATGATGTTACTTTGTGTGTATATATTCACCAACATCTTTGGGACGGTTGTAGAAGTGAAGCAGACATCCACAAAAGAAAGGTTGGAGAGGAAGAAATACATGGGTGTATGCAGGTGGGGGCCTAAAATCGTTGCCAAGATGATGAGTAGGTTCCCGAGCATGGTGATCAAGTACATTGTCAGGAACAGCACAAATAAAAAAGGCTGCAGTCTTAGATTCTTTGAAATTCCAAGAAGGAGAAAATGTGAAACTTGTGAGTCGTTCTTTGGCCCCATTTAGTTGGTGTAACTAATGAGAAGAGAGAGGGCAGGAAAATATGTGACACAGTTGTGAAAGCTCAGAGAACCCCTGCCCTGTATGTCCTGTAGCCGCGACTTGAATTCCCAGACTTTATATATGAATGGGATCTGTAATAGTCCACAACCCTTTCATGACTGATGTAATATCCTCAGATCACACTCTACCTTTTCCTGGCTGAGTTTTGAATAGTCATGAATTTGCAGAACTATTTTCTGTATTTGGAGACTATAAATTAATTATAATCACGTTGCAGCCACATCTTAGGAAAGACATGGTCTGTGCAGAATTCAAATGTCTTTAAAATCACATGAGGATGAAATAAACAAATAAATGCTTAAAGTGATAATGTAAGAAAGATGTAAGTTGGTGACAGAATGAAAGAAAACAAAGTTATGTAGGAAATGGTGTATAGGGATTGTTACTTTATACTGAGCATGTTGGCGAGAAAAAGCAATAGACCAGTAAAAAGATACCCCTAGAAGATAGTAAGGTGCTTATAGCCTGCAGGCGTATATGCCTTGCAGAAGGAACAGCCAGTGAAATTATCTGAGGAAGGTGCTTGTTTTAATATATAAGTCTAACCTGAAGCAGAGTGACTAAGAGAGTGAACAAAAGATGATATTGAAGGAATAAGTGGCTTTATTGCTGTTGAAATAATCAAGACACCATGACATTTTTCTGTTCATATGTCACTGCATTTTACTTTTAACTTGGTTGCAAAATTTCCTGTGTATTTGTTATTTTCCCAATGCCATGAAGACATCTGATGATGTCAGCTTAAGGGAAGACTATTTGCTCATGGATTGAGGGCACATTATGGGTGAGAAGGGAGGCAGACCAAAGCACAAGACAACTGGTCACAGAGCATCCACAGTCAGGGAGCAGACAGAGATGAATACTGATGCTCAATTTGTTCTCTTCATTTTTATGCAGGCTTCCCATGGGATGGTGTCACCCACATTTAGGGAAAGCCTGTCCAGCTCAGTTACACAATCTAGAAGTCCTCCTCACTTACAAGCCGAGGTGTTTGTTTTCTAGGTTATTCTATATCCTGTCAATAAGATTATCCACCACATTCTTGTAAGCTGGAAAGCATCTTTTTGCTATTGTCATAGATTAGTTTAATGGTCCAGCCTCTGTATCACGCTGTGGTCCATAAGGACCACATTAAAATCATGTCCTCCTTACCTATGCCACATGGTTAGAAATAAAATACGATAGGCAAGCCACTGGAAGCAAAATGTGTTTCTTGCAAGGAAATGGATAATATTGGGAAGTCCAAAGTAGTAATGTGGTCCAAATTCCCTTGTGTGTGGCTCCTGGTCCATAACATATACATGTATATATGTAAACACCTGTAACAGTAGGAATTGTTCGGCTTTTAGAAATGGGGATGATGGTAATACGTGAAGGGAGGCAAAGGACACATTTGTCTTCAAAGAGTTGAAGGTGACACTTCAAATTAAAAAGTATGCAATGGGGGCTGGAGAGATGGCTCAGCGGTTTAGAGCACTGGCTGCTCTTCCAGAGGTCCTGAGTTCAATTCCCAGCAACCACATGGAGGCTCACAACCATCTGTAACGAGATCTGGTGCCCTCTTCTGGTGTGTGGACATATGTGGAGGGAGAATGTTGTATACATAATAAATAAATAAGTCTTTTAAAAAAAAAGTATGCAATGTTTGTCATGGGGAAAGAGAGCAAGCATGAGAGACAAAGGCAGAGAGGAGACTAACTAGATATTAGATGAGGGGAAGGTCAGCTCTAGGGTTGCTACATGATCATGTGTTTCAGAGGACATTATAATGAAGAAAAAGCTCTATTCCATCAGCACCCTAACTACAAGAATATATACTATAAGATAAAAAAAGGTAACTTGTCAAAAATAAAGCACTTACAGTAGAGAAGTAAAAATATCTCTTGGAATGATATAATGATACTTGAACTCTCATTTGAACAAAAAAAAAGTCAAGAATAAAACAAATGAAAACTAATAAGACAAAAATACCCAAACAAAACAAAACTAAACATCTCCCCCTAAAAAAACCATGGAGGCTTAGAAAATGTGAGGAAAAGAGATTGCATAAAAAATTAATAAAAAAGAGTTGGGTGGTGGTGGTGCATGCCTTTAATCCCAGCACTTTGGAGGCAGAGGCAGGAGGATCTTAGTTTACAAGGCCTAGTTCCGGGTCAGGCAACAAAGCGACACAGAGAAACCCTGTCTTGAAAAAACCAAATAATAATAATAATAGAATCTTCATCTGGTGATGGATAGAGATAGAGACAGAGACCCACACAGGAGCACTGGACTGAGCTCCCAAGGTCCCAAGGAGGAGCAGAAGGAGGGAGAACATGAGCAAAGAATTCGGGACCACGAGGCGTGCATCCACCCACTGAGACAGTGGAGCTGATCTACGGGGAGCTCACCAAGGCCAGCTGGACTGTGACCGAAAAAGCATGGGATAAAACCGGACTCTCTGAACATGGCGAACAATGAGGGCTGATGAGACACCAAGGACAATGGCAGGGGGTTTTGATCCTACTTAATGTGCTGGCTTTGTGGGAGCCTAGCCAGTTTGGATGTTCACCTTCCTAGATATGGACGGAGGGGGGAGGACCTAGGACTTACCACAGGGCAGGGAACCGGGACTGCTCTGTGGACTGGAGAGGGGGGGGGGGGAGAGGAGTGGGGGGAGGGAGAGAAGGGTGGGAGGAGGGGGAGAAGGGTGGGAGGAGGGGGAGAATTGTGGGAGGAGGGGAAGGGAAATGGGAGGCTGGGAGGAGGTGGAAACTTGTTTTTTTGTTTATGTTTTTTTTTCTTCTTTTCGCAATAAAAAAAATTAAATAATAATAATAATAATAATAAATAAAATAAAATTTTGGAAAAGAAATATATAAATAACCATAGAATTTTGGCGGGTATATATTGAATATTAGAAGTGTACTTTTTTCTTACATTTTCTCTATAAATTTGATAAACTGGAATTGTATTATGTTGCACTTTTATTGGAGCATAGTAGTTATATGCTCTTATGGATTACAGTTTGAAGATATAATACATGCATGCATATGATTATGATGATAAAAACAAGATAATGTGTCTACTAATTATATCAACCATGTATTGCTAAATTAGACTAAGAATGCAATGTTCTTGAAGTATTTTGGAATACATTATGCATGATTTTTGTTGTTTGAGAATTTTACTTATGTATATAATTTGTTTTGGTCAAATCCACCTTCATTCTCTTCCCTCTGACTCTTTCTCTATACCTACCCTCACTTCTCCTTCTAAACTTAATGCGCTCTTTTTGACCCATAAACTTCACTTAGTGCTGCAAGTGTGTGCATTGGTGTGTGACCATTTACTACATGATTGGCAGCCTCTCGAGACTGGGATCCCCAAACAACACTGACTCTCCCTCCTCTAACAGCCATCAATTGCAATTAGCTCTTCAGTAGGCATGGGATTTTGTATGCTGGTTTGTGCCTGGCTTTGATCTTGTGTGGGTGTTTCACATGAAATTTTATTTACTATTTTTAATCTTTCTCTCTCAACTGGTCAAGAGAACATAAAAATGCATGTTCCTATGATGCCATTGCTGAACATTTTCCCAGTTTTATCTATTAACCTGTTAAACTCTTTCCTATTCTCTGATTTTATGCTTATATAATCAACCTTTTAGCGTCCATGGGGAACCCAATTAGGATTTCTCATTCTGTGGGGAACAAAAACCACACAAATAGGCACAGAGCTAGTTATCAGTAACTATTGTTATATGCATAAGAACCCACAAGTCAGATCTCTGTTTTTCTTTTCCAATGTGAATACAGCTTATGTTGTTTGATCAAATCTGAAGGGTACAGTGTGGTCCTGCCTGTTGCTCCATCCAACATGCAAAGATACCTCCAGAACATATCCTATGAAACTATGTGCCTAATCCCTAGAGAATTGTGTGTACCTTTATTTATTCCATTGTGTTGTGACTCGGCCTCCTAAAGTGAGATCCACATGAGCAGTACTCCACCGCTTTGCTTACTTTGAATTTTCAATGTGCTGTGTGATTATTTCTGCATTACATAGACTAAAAGGAAAGAAAAGAATTGTAGCATAGCAAAAGTGGAAAAGGAAAAAACTCAAAATTCAGTGAATTTTAAACAACAACAACAAAAAAGCAGGCTTAACCAAATTGAATGTGGCATCAGTAATTAGGTTAAAGACTATCCGTAATATTAATGCTTAAATGCTACCATTAGAGACTCTTGATTTATTTGGCAATGACCTACACATAAAAGAATATACTACACAATGTCCCTCTCACTGTGTGGCTCACATCAGAAGCTCAGGATATAATGACTTCAGGGTATATGTACATTTAACATATGACAATGCTGTGTCTCAATGGAGTTAGAAAAACTTCAATGTTTGTGTAAAAATTGGCATCAGTGTCAATCTAACAGAAGAAAAGTAAAATTGGTCCTATAGTTCACATATAAAAACTCAGCAAATAGTGTTATCATTAAGAAATCAAGCAATACATTAGAGGGGAACATAAAGAGATGTTTGTGGTAGATAAATGCTTCTTGACTAATGTAAGGAAACTCATAAGTGAGAAGATAGAAAAGTTTGGGCAAAATAAGAGGAGTACTCCAAAGGTATATAAACCATAACTGGAGATTACATTGAAGCTATGGCAATAGAAAACATCTAATATAATGAAAAACAACTTGAAGTAATTGTCCAACTCAAAATCCAGACATAACCTTCACTTTGTTCTACCATTCTCTGCATGTATTAAATAATTTCTCTTCTACCTAATTAACCACATCATCTTTAAGATACATCCTAGTCATATAGAGCCACCTGAAGCGTCTCAACTCCTCTCCTAATTGGTCTTCTATTGCTATCAGTTCATCTTCAATGTAGACCCTGCCATGCTGAGTTCAGTGTCCAATTCCCCTTTTGATTTGCTGAATATACAGCTGACTTAATCAGATAAGCCAGCAAACAGCCACAGTCATCTGTCATCTTTAAGACACTCTGGATTGATTCTAAAGTGACTACATTGAAATATTTTTTCTTCCCTGTCTCAGGATTTTTCAAACCATATCAGTCATGTTTCCACACTAACCTTCATGGTTTAAAGATGGGAGGTATCGTATGGAATTCTAAATTCTCCTCTAGATGGATGACTGTGGAGACAAAAGTTACAAAATAAGACGAGACAGGAAGGCAAGATCAAGCTTCATTCCCTGAGTAAATGTGATCCCAATGCAAACAGCCATGTTCTGAGCAGACAGAGTTACACAGACTGAGTAAAAATAGAAGGGATATATTTATATCTTTGGATGTCTGCTCATTAGATACATTTCACTATTTCTCTTATGATTTCACATCTGAGAACAACATTTCCCAAAGGAATGTTTCTATTCTCAGACAATTTATTTTTCCTTGCAGATTATCTTTCACCATCTGCCTCCAAGTAAAGTTACCTCCTGACACCATATCAACACTGTCAATGAAAATTTGCTCATGAAGATCCACTTTTGACTGGATTTTATAGCCTTCACTCATGATAAGGCCATAGACACCAATGTCACCATAATTTCAACTTCTTACCTCTTTTGCAAAGGGCTGATTTGTGATATCTTAACATAAAACACACTTAATATAATCCTTGATTTCAGGTACCTTTCAACAAAACACCTAATTTTAGAAAAATTCAATAACAGAAGGCATGTGTCTTCACATTATCCTAAGGGATGGGAACTTTACTTTATAGGTTTTATAGACTCTGTTTTCTGTGGTCTGCACTGATATGGACTTTATTCTGGATAATAATCTGTATCTCTCATACATATCCATCATTTCAAAGTTTTTACTTATTATTCTTGTGAAAATTTAAAGTAGTTTATTTACTTATTTTGAAATCTATAGTAAATTTTACTAATTACCATTAATCTACTATGCTGCAGATAGATTTGTCTAGTTTCGTTGTCAGTCCATGACCACACCCCAATGAACATGCCCCATCTCCTCTACCTATAGATGCCTCCCAGAACCTTGTTTGTACCCAATTTGTCCTGTAACGCCCAGCCTCCACCACTATTTTACTCTTTACTAATACAAATTCAACAATGATGGTTTCCATATTTGACTAACAGCTTGTAATTAGTTTTCTATGCTTGACTTCTTTTCCTTAATGTCATCTAATGTTATCCACATTGCCCCATATGTAGGATTTTCATTGTCTCTTTAAATCCAAAAAGTATTCTACTATCTATACATACCAACTGTTCTGGTTTGCTTACTTTTGAAGTGATGAACACCTTTAACACCAGCAACTTTGGCAAGAATGGTTCATTTTATTTTATATTTCTGAATCACAGTCTGTCATAGTGAAGTCAGGGCAGTAGGAACCTGGAAGCAAGAACTAAAGCAGAGACCACAGAGTAGTACCACTCACTGGGTTTCTCCTATAGCTTATTCAGCTTTTTATTCTGCTTTTTTCTACAACCCAGGACCACTTGCACAGTGGTGATGCCCCCACAGTGAGCTGGGCCTTCCCTCATTTATCATTAATCAATGTGCCCATCAGACATGTCTACAGGTCAATCTGGTGGAGGTATTTTCTCAGCTGATCAACAACTTTTATCTTGGTTTCCAGTCCCCCATTTCACTCAGAAGTCTTGGGGTCTATGTTTTTTGACAGTACCACACTGCTTTTAATACTATTGCTTTCCAATAATTTAAAATTCAGATATTTTGTTGTGTGTAGCTTTATATTTTAGATTCAAGATAATTTAGGTTGTATGCTGTTTTTTGATACTTCATATGAGTTTTAATGTTGCCATCTTTATTTCAGTGAACAATAGGTTTGGTGTTTTGATGAAAATTGAAAGACTATTTTGTGAGGTATGAACACTGACAATATTAATGCTTCTAATCTGTTAGAATGGGATGCTTATACTACTTTTACTTCATTAGTTTCTTTAATTTATATATTATAGTTTTCATTGTAGTTATCATTCAATTTCTTGACTAAATTTATTTCTAGATAGTTTGTGTTCATTCCCTAAGGAGGTGAGGGATACCATGTAATGCTAACTATCCCCTAAGATGCCAAGGACAATTATGTTGAATTCTATCCAAGTTCAGTCTACAGAACCAATGAGTGTTTTAGAGACTAACTTGCAAAGCATGAAAAAAGAGTTATGGGCAAGAGTTTTGGTGGATCAACCTGATAGAAGAAAAAGCGGGAAGTGGCCTTCAATGCATGGGCACATGAGACCACTTCCTAAATATAACACCAGTAGCATAGACACTGAGAACAACAATACATAAATGGGACCTGCTGAAACTGAGAAGCTTCTGTAAGGAAAAGGACACAGTCAATAAGAATAAAAGGCAGCCTACTGAAAGACCCCCCCCGCCCAGCTTATTAAACGACTTAGCACCGGTAACGCCATTTTACAAGGCTTGTACTGAATATTCAGGGTTTGAACAAAGGGCAGTTTAAAAGCTGCCAAAACAAGCTAGAGACACCTGTGGCTGGGCCGGGGGAGGAACGGGAATACCGAGAATATGGCTAGGCACCGTCTGTCCCAGGCGGGGAGGAACGGTGAAGTCTGCCCTAGATAAGAGCCAAGGCAGCCCATATCTGAATTCTCGGGAACTAGAGACCTTGTCCCGACCTGAACTCGGCCACATTCAAACTGACCAATGAAAACCCTGTAACTATGCTTCTCGCTTCTGTACCGCGCTTTTTGCTCCCCAAAACATATATAAACCCATTACCCCGACCTAAAGGTGCACAAGTCCTCTGAGAGACTTTGTCGCCCCAGGTACCTGTGTATCTGAATAAACCTCTTGCTGTTTGCATCTGTACAAGTGGTCTCGTTGTTCCTTGGGAAGGGTCTCCCCAGAGGAAAGACACTCTTGGAGGGTCTTTCACTACTGAGTGGGAAAAGATCTTTAACAACCCTACATCAGACAGAGTAACGATCTCCAAAATGTAATACAGAACTCAAGAAATTGGATATCAGAATGTCAAATAGTGTAAATAATCTAATTATAAAATGGGGTAGAGATCTAAATAGAGAATTCTCAACTGAAGAATCTCAAATGGCTGAAAGACACTTAAGGAAATGTTCAACATCCTTAACTATCAAGGAAATGCAAATCAAAACTACTCTGAGATATCATCTTATACCTGTCAGAATGGCTTAGATCAGAAACACCAATAATATCTTATGCTGGAGAGGATGCAGAGTAAGGGGAACTGTAGTGGAACTATTGTATTTTAATAAAGACTGCCTGAAGATCTGAGAGTCAAACAGTCCCATTGGTCAGCCTTACAGACCATATTATGATATCACACAACTTTAATTCCAGTAGCTTCAATGATATACATCTTTAATCCCACTCACCATACAAGTTGCCATAGAAATTGGTGGTGCATGCCTATAATCACAGTGGTTCATGCCTTTAATCCCAGCCCTAGAGAGGATTATAAAATGGGAGGAAACAGCTCTCAAAACTCAGTCTCATTCTGAGATTCCTGGAGGCAGGATCACCATTTTGAACTGAGACCAAGGTAAGAGCCAGTATCTGGCTGTTTTGCTTTTTTGATTTTCATGTTGAAGCCCAATTTTTGACCCTGATCTTTTATTAATCATGTTTCATTTCTCATCCATGTGGATCCTGACTCTATGCCAGGACCTTCTCAAAAGGTCCACAGTCGAATATCTCCCCTCTCCATGACTTGGCTTGATTTCACCTACTACGTGGTTTTTTGTTTTATTTTGTTGTTGTTGCTTTGTTTTGTTTTATTTTTAACAGAAACCCCACTGTAGAAGAGGCAGGCTACAAATTGGAAATTTCCTGGACTCACACTTCCCCCTCACCCCAGCCCCTTTCTTTGCTGTGTGGCAACTTGTGCAGCGTTTAGTTTGCGTTCTGAGCTTCCAGTTCATGTTCCTGGCTTGCAATCCATGGGTTCCTTGATACTCTGGCCACCAAAAAACTCTCTCTGTGAACAGAATTGATTTAATTGCTCATAATTTTTCAAGCATACTTGTCCTTATTTAAGCAGGTGCCAACAGAGAACTAAGCAGGACTGTTTACACAGTACTTTTCACTTCACCTCCAGTCACTTCTCTCTGCCATGCACTCGCAATTGTGACACCTACTGGCCAATAAGGATTATTATGCCTACAACAATTTATTAAAATCTCATAACAGAGGTAAATTCATTTGATTAATAAATAAATCAATGAATTTGAAAGATATGAATGCAGACATTTTCACCATCCAGGAGTTTAATAACTTTTTTGCTTATATTATAGATGATATTCTCCAAGGCTTATATGGTTTTTCTGATGCAACCATTTATTTAATATATTGGGACTTAGCTTTGTTTTTCATATTATATCCTTAAAAATGGTTTGATAAAAGAGCCAAGAATGAGACACTTTTAGAAATGATACAGTCTTTATGAACTAATAATGAACAGCTAGCAGATAGGATTTATACCATAGAAAATCAAAAGTTAGCTAAAAAAATTAATATCATTGAAAAGAATAACATTGATTGGACAGGTAAAATTTAATCCATGTCAAAGGGTGATGAAAAATTATCTGAAAGAATTCACTGTTGAATTTGACAATTAAAATCTGTTAAAAAAATTATGATAAGTTAGCATATATAGTATTTCTCCAGGAAGGTACTCTGTACACCTTCTAAATAATATCCAAAGATGAGAAGTTATCATTAGTGGAAAAATTTCGTACCTTTGCATCATTTGTGCAAAATGAGGACCAGAGGTTATTATTAGAAATCATTAGAAATATTCAGAGATCAAGAGATTCAAGCTTTACAAAAGACAGAGGTAAAAAGATTTGTAAGATTTGAGGAAATTATCAGAACTGATGAGCAAGGGGTAGAGGTACAAGGACAAGATTTATAATCCCCAGTACATGTCAGAGTCAGAGATGACTTGCCAAGGGTTTTAGTGACTTACCCCGTAACCACTTCTGATGAGCCATACAGTTCTAAATACCCAAAAGAGAATTTAGAGAATGTAAATCATTTAGAGAATGTAAATAAAAAACTATAGGTGTGAATGATCTAAAAGAAATTAAGCAAGCTGCAGTATCTTATGGTTTGTATTCATCATTTGTTAGGAAAATGGTGAAAACATGGGCTTCAAGCAAAAAAAAAACTAGCCCATATGAATGGATTCAATTAGTTTCAGCATTCCTGGAAGATAGTCCACAACTACTGTGGAAATGCCATGAATGGGATGAGGCAAAAATTTTAGAACAATGGGGGAAAGTAAAAGGTTTTGAGACTTCTCAAGATCAAATTCTTGGCAAGGGCACTTATGCTGATCCACAGGATCAAGCTCTTTATGATGAGCACATCTTGTCCCTCTGCCACACAGAAGCCTTAAATGCTTGGGACAGGATTAAAGAACTAAGAAAAAGAATTGAATCATATACTAGGGTTAAGCAAGGTCAAAGAGAATTCTTTAGTGACTTAATACAAAGATTAATTATAGCTTGACAAGTAGGAGTAACAGACTCAAAAGCTAGATGAGCACTTATTGAATCTCTGGCTTTCAAAAATGCCAATTTAGCATACAAAAAGATACTTGGGACTTTAAAGGTTAGATCAGCACCTATGGATAAGTGGATCCTGTATGCAAGGATGTTGAGACATTTGATTATAATACTGAGGCTTGGGTAGGAGAAGCAATTTTCAAAGGTATGAGGAGACATCAGAATGTCAAATGTTTTAATTGTGGTAGAATAGGATATCTGAGAAGGGATGGTACACAAGGTATTCCTAGAAACAATGTCTCTTCTGGGAAATACAAAAATAGAAGGTCTCAAACTTTTAGATATGTAGAAAAATGTGGCAAAGGCCAACATCAGACCAATAAATGGATATCAGCAAAAGACAAACAAGGCAACCCAACACCATTGAGAAACTACTTGGGAGTACTCCTTGCAGGCTCTAAGGCCAAACATGTTCCAGTCATTCCCTGTCACCATGGGAAACATGTCTTACCAGTAAAATTAAAAAAATGTCAGTGCTTGCTTTAAAAAAAAACATACTGCTCTGCATGATGGATTAAACATGAAAGATGAATCAAAAATTCAAATAGAAATAAAACCATATTTTAGCAAACTTCTGTAAATGAACAAAGACCAAAACTGAGTGCATATAAATAAAATTGTAATTGAGGGCTTACTAGACATTGGTGTGGATATGACTATCATTACTCCAGAATTTTGGCAACCAAATTGGCCTCTTCAAGAGGCAGATGTTCAATTCCTAGGAATTGGAACCCTATTTCAAGTAAAACAAAGCAAGAGATGGGTTGAATGCATAGGGCTAAAAGGACAGAGAGGAAGGGTAAGACCATATGTGGCTAATATCACAGTGAATTTAGAGGGTCATGATCTGCTGTAGCAATGGAATACCCAGATAAACATTCCTGTAGTCCCAGAAACTCATGTTTCTGGGAAGAATATTTTAAGGTACCATAAAAAAAAGCCAACAGCCATTTAGGCTGTACAAGAACACAAAATAGGAGTTTCTGGCCCACGGTGCCAGCCTGGGACGGGGAGCTCGGGAGTTCCTTGGCCCCCATCCTTCTTGGGCTCTCTGCAGGGCCTCTACTCCCTGGGTGCTGCCTCTTTCTTCCTGGCCCACCCAGCTTCCGTCCAGAGCCCTCCCCACTTCGGCCCCACCGCCCTCTTTTGGCGCGTGGCATCGCCCAGCCCAGCCTATCTGGGCGCTGGGTCCGAGTACTCGGGGCACCCGGGCGGGCAGCAGTTCCTTTGTTTCTGTGGCCTGCCTGCACCAAGCGGGGTAGGCGCTTTGTTTGCGAGCTGCCCAACCAGCACGGAGGCCTGATCTCTCGGTGCCAGGAGACCCAGCGTTGGGGTGAGTTTCTGGCCCATGGCGCAGGCCTGGGACGGGGAGCTCGGGGGTTCCTTGGCCCCCTGTCCTTCTTGGGCTCTCTGCAGGGCCTCTACTTCCTGGGTGCTGCCTCTTTCTTCCTGGCCCATCCAACTTCCATCCAGAGCCCTCCCCACTTCGGCCCCACCGCCCTCTTTTGGTGCATGGCATCGCCCAGCCCAGCCTGTCTGGGCGCTGGGTCAGAGTCCTCAGGGCGCCTGGGCGGGCTGAAGTTCCTTTGTTTCTGTGGTCTGCCTGCCCCGGTAGGCGCTTTGTTTGCGAGCTGCCCAACCAGCACGGAGGCCTGATCTCTCAGCGCCAGGAGACCCAGCGTTGGGGAGACCCAGCATTGGGGAGAGGCAGCGTTGGGCACGGAGACCTGATCTCTCGGTGCCAGGAGAGCCAACATTGGGGAGAGCCAGCGTTGGGTAGGCAACGAGACCTGATCCGGTAAAAGAAGATCCATAGGGAGCATTTGGAAGAAGAGATGGGCAGACGCCAAGGCAAGAATTCGCCCAACAAGCTGAAAAGCAACATGAAGCCACCAGAAACCAGCGACCTCACAACGGGAGGACATGAACCCCTTAATCAAGAAGAAGGAGAAAAGATTGACTTCATGAAAGTGATTGACACCCTTAAAGAGCATGTAAAAAACGCCCTTATAGAAATGGATGAGAAATATAACAGAAAGTTTGAAGAATTGAATAAATCAGTGAATGATACCCTAGAAAACTAAGGAAAAACAATCAAACAGATAATGGAAACAGTTCAAGACCTGAAAA